GTAAAGATTTACAGCCTCGGAAACCCTGTACAGGGTCGCTGTGAGTCGGAACCCACTCCACGGCACATAACAACAACAACACTAAACACTTTCAGTGTTCACTCCTGGAAGTTACTAGGACACTCAACTCATTCCTCTGAGTATAAATAAAGCAAAATGCGCTGCCGTCAAGCCAATTTCAACTCATTGCAACCCTACAGAACAGAGCAGAACTACCTCATAAGGCTTCTAAGACTATAATCTTTACAGAAGCGGACAGCCTCATCTTTCTCCCAAGAAGAAGCTGTGGGTTTGAACTGCTGACCTTTCTGTTAGCTGCTGACAGCTTTAGCCATGATTCCACTTACAGCATCTTCAACGAAAGGGAAGTAATCTCTCATTTAACGTATTGCATTTTACCGTAACCAGAGTACATGAGGATAAGATCTTTCCTACAACATTCCAGTTAATAAACACAAAAGGAAGAACAGAATTAGAAAATCACCATATACTAACCCTAATGAAGCAATGAAAATCAGCAATAATCATCAATGGATGCTAAAACCATCTGGTAAAATGTGGATGGAGAAATTGATAATTTACAGCTCAAACTCATATCTTCTGAACCCACTGACCAATTTTAACATACTCAGAAATGAGACAACCAGACATGTAGTTCATGATGTGATACAATAAGAAGCATACAGCACCACGTATAAAGTATTTTTGTCTATAAAACTGAGCTTGAATATGACCAAGCCTATAGATAGCTATGCCAATATACAGGAAATACTGAGAAAAGAAGAACGTATTAAATTACATACAGGAATCAGTCAATCAGAAGGATTCCTAAGTCATAGCAGTGTTCAGTGTAGTTCCTAGGCCAGTAATTTCAGCATCACCTGGGAAAACGTCTGGAATATAAATTCTCAGGTCTCACCCAAACCTCCGGAGTTAAGAACTCAGGAGATGGGGCTTCTTAGCAAGCTGTGTCTCACAAGCTCTCCAGATGATCCCCATGCAAATTCAAATCTGAGAACCTCAACTTGAAAAAAATGAATGGTATGGGGGTGGGGGATAAAGATAGAGGAAAGAAGATTTACAGAATAAAAGACGTAAGAAACATAGTAACAAAATAAAACCAAGTGCTATGGTGGATTACTCTACTGATATCCTGAAAATCATTTTATACCAATTTAAAGATAATCCTAGAAATAATTAGTGTGGTGGCAAATGAAAATATTATTTACACAAACTTGTAATTCAGGAATTGAGGAACTTGATTCCTATCAACAATGGAAAGGGATCTTGAATCAGATTCTATAACTTTCTTCAGATTCTATAACTTTCTTTTCTCCTTCTGGTTTTTGCTTTCTTTCCTGCTGTTAGACTCCTAAGCTATTTAGAAAACAAGAACATCATGAAGAAATTAATAAACTTAATAGAAAATGTTACTTACGTTATGTTTATGACAGAAATTAAGAGCCTGAAGTGTTTGCCATAATACACTTTTGATCACTCCATCAGCAACTCTGGGGATAAAAAGAAACAAAGAAATGAAGACTCTTAAGGTTGGGGTTCCATCTGGGGCTGCAATGGGTGGGATAGGCTGGGCCACACATGACAAGCATGGTGCAAAGGGTGTTCTGTAAAAGTTCTTTTAAACAAAATTTAATAAAAGCTGTTTCACTATTTTTTATTATCATGATGCAATTTTCTTACATAATTAAAAAAAAATGTTTAACTGTAAAAATGATACTATGTTGTTGTTGTATGCTGTGGAGTCAGTTC